GGCTGCTGCAAAGCAGCTGTGCAGCGAAACGTCGGGCCGAAGTTAAAAATCATTTCCTAATAAGTTTAACTAATATATCGCGTTTTAAACCGTTAAAGTGTTTCATTTAAATATACTCTTATGCTTTATAATATTAGTCTGAATATACACATCGTGCTGTATTAGCCGCTTCTTTAATCAAGATAAATGTATGCACTCTACATTGATTGGTTCTGATTGTAAAAAAAAATATTTCCAAGCCCATTAATTAAATAAAGTAGCTGAACAAATAAGTCTTAAATCTAGTTTCCTCTCAGCTTTGAAGAATAACTTTTCACATGTGAAGTGGTTCAAAAGTCCATTAAAACTGAGTCTAGGTGATTTAATCGAGTAGATGCGATTTAACAAAAACCGCACAGATTATGCAGCCATTTGCATTTTATTGACACTGGAGACGAAATTGGCCCGCTTTCACGGGGATTAGACTTGCGAATATTTGACATGAGCATGGCTCGGTGGTATTATCTAATCTACAACCAATGATGAATGATGATGTGAATGTTCGTGACGTACATGTATCTTTATATCGTTATTGGTATAAGTATATAAGCCATAAACGATTACGTAATTTAAAAATGGGTGTTATGTAGTCTATAAAATAAATCAATGGTTTTCAAACGATGTGTTTCTTTAACATGGAGCGCGTATCAGAATGCACGTAAAATAAATATTTTGGTGCATTTGGATCAAACTCCCGACCTACACACCTAAACCATAGAATTCTGATTTTAATGATCCAGCGCAGTAGCGCCGGCGTAGTAGTTTAATACTTTGACGTGAGAGACACTCTCCATCTTTAGTCTCCGCGGGCCACGGCTCCTGCAAAGCATCCGAAACGTAGGGCCGATGTTAAAAATCATATTCAAATAAGTTTACTGGCTGTCCGGCTTTAACTCCGAAACTACTGAACTGATTTAAATGAAATTCGGTACACAGATATGATGTACAATGAAACTTTCTTCTTTGGCTTTTTGGGAGCGGGAGTGGGAGTGAGTATAGAAATGACAGTTGGAGTTAGAGTAGGAGCACTTACAACATAGATTGGCTGCCTTAAATGCGCTCTTACATACGTTAATAAGCAGCCCAAAATAATATAAAAATTCTACCCCAAGTCACTATTCCACGCGGACGAAGTCGCGGTCACAGCTAATGAAATATACAGAGGAAAAAACTCTAGAATGCAAAATGATACGTCGTATTTCCGGCTTTATGTAAATGTCGTCCTCTTAATTTCCCTAATTAGAGGTTAGTTAAAGCTTTCTTAATCCGCAGAAAAACTAATTACATTAAATGAGTCTGGAATTTTAAAAGAGAAACATTAGCTTATTTTTTTATACTTTTAGACAAGTTTTAAATCTTCCAGGTTTATTTATAATAAAGAAAAAAGGATCTACTAAATAAATAATATGTTATTTCCTTAGTTTTGCAAGGATACAAATATAAGAGAATTTGTTTTATTCATTTATTTATTTACATACATTTATTATTTACAAACACCATAGGAATGAAAATTAATTGTGTAAGGCCTTCTCGGCCTCCGTTCAGCATATTATTGTTTTTGGGGCTATTCGCCCGACGTGAGGAAGACTGCTCGACACTTCGCCATTACAAGCGGACGGCATCATCAGGTTGTTAGCTGTTAACATCAGCCATATATTTTTCCAACTTACCAAAACGGCGTTGCACTGAGTGCTGTCATGTGTTTGAATTCCGGGAAGAACTCAACTTGGGAAAAACTGTAAAAGTTCACTGGTTTGAAAAGGTATTTTACTTTTTAGGATATTGTACAATTTGTATTGTACATATTTTTTTTAGTTGTATATTGTGACTTGGGTAAACTATATTTAAATACATACGTCTTAGTTAGTTTTAATAAAATGCTATACGGTTTAACGACATATATCAGTTCTAAAAATAAGTTTAAATAATACATATCGCATTTTGAACCATTACAGTGTTTCATTTAAATAACAGACAGTTTTTAGAAAATAGAGGAATAGTGGTCGATGATTTTTGTAAGTAGAGTTATAATTTTAAAGTATAACTTCTTGTTTTTAAATTCCAACGAACTCGTCTACTGAATGACAGTAACTTGCAACAGAGCTGCATCCAGCTAGTTATATTTTAGTTTGAACGACTTTCTCATTACTTCAAGATCTCGCGAGGATACTTGTAAAAGGCATGATGAGTCGTTTGTTTTGTAGAAACAGGAACACTTAGTTTTTTAGATAACCTATTTGTATGTTCGCGGATTTTAATAACAAGAAAAACGCTTTTAAATATCAAGTTTAATCCTGTTTTTAAAACTTCAATATAAAATTCTTCGTTTAAAATATGTGTCAGATGTAACAGCTCATAAAAAGGTTTTTTTAAATGCTGTCTAGAGTTTACGCGAGTACACATTTAAATAAAACATTTTAATGGTTTAAAACACGGAATATGTCAGTGACTATGAAAACTATTTTAACTAGCGCCCGACGTTCGGGTGCTTTGCAGCAGCGGTGGTCACGGGGAGGAAACGCCGGGCTCGCAGATAAATTAATTTTCAAATAAGTTAAACTAATATATTTCCCGTTTTAAACCATAAAAGTGTTTTATTTAAGTTTGCATTATATACTTATATTCAGAACATTCCAAATTCGAGCAACAAAGCAATTTCTGAATTTCAATACATACATCATTATTTTTCGGGCTGTCTGGCGACGAAAGAGTGAAAAGGTTCTCGACGTTTCGCCATCACGAGACATCACGGACGGCATCATCAGGAGATGTTAGCTCCTCGATTGCTCTAAGAAGTAATAATTCTCCTTCTTCTCGCTTACGTCGGCCGAACAGCCCGTAAAATATCATTGTTTTAACTCAACGATGGCCGTGAAAGCCTTACACAATTTATTAAACACATATGTTAAAACTATTTTATTTCTTTCGTAACATACTTAGACACACTACGAAGCTTCATTTAATATTCAGCTTATTCTAAAGTATAAATATTTATACTTTAGAATATTCTCTTCGAAGCTTGAATCGGTGACTTATTGCCGGCTTCCTTACCGACAAATAGCTCAATTTCCTACCTTAAATCTTCCACGTTTAAAAGCCAACTTTACTTAAAAGATATTAGATGGAAAATCCACTGCGCAGTTTCGAAACCCTCCTGGACCGTATAGTAGATGGATTTTTGGCTGAAATATGGTTACTGCAAGCTGTATTGAAAGGCAACGTGAAGATAATCCAGGTTTAATGATCTTTTCTGCTTGACCTTTTATTGATTGTGGATAAGCCAGAATTGACAAGCACACAAGTAATCTTGACTTTCGTAATGGTTCTTTAGATTCGTTGGAAGCGAGTGAAGGTTGATGTGTGCTTTCTGTAAGTATTTATATTTAAATATTATTATTAAAATTGTTCTTTGGTTCAGTGTAGTGACAACTGGTAGTGATAGGATGTTCGGACAGTGAAATGTTATTCTAACAATCTTGACGTGACGTATTTGACGGGCGCGTTGGTCTAACAGTAGCGATGTAGGCTAATTATCAGATCCAACGTGTTTCTTTTAATTTATAATTTATCTGAAATATGTAGAACTTCGTCTGAAAATCTGGATAAATGGGTGGTAGGAATGTGGAAATTTCATCCGGGTCACGAACCACCGTCCTCGGATGAAAAAGTCGAAACGGTTAATCGCGTTTCAGTTTCGGTCTGTGGATTTCCGATTATCCAAAGCCAAAATATGTCAACAATGCATCTTGTTTAGATGCTATAAGCTGGTGTATATCATCAGCATTAATCTATTAATTAATAATTGGCCTTTATTGACAGATAATTATAACACTGTTCATCTGTGTTAACAATAGAGATAATATTCGCAATAAATATATTTAGTATTATCAGTTTTTCTATGTTTATAACATAAAACTATGATCTGAATGAATTTTTTTATTGTAAATAGACTTGCCTTAACTTCGCCATTTAATATTTTTTATGACAAAGAAAGATAGACACGGGGTTATTATAACATCTCAACAAGATGTACTATCGACCGATTTTGGCTTTTTGTCAAGCTTAACTAACGGCTTCTTCATTTATGGGACGATGGTTAGTGACCCGGACATAATTTCCATATTCCTACCTCCTATTCAATATCCAGACTTCCAGAAGTCAAGTTCAAGATGTTATAGAAAAACTATAATTTGATTAGAATTATGAATCCGGTGGCGATCCGTTGATTATTATTAGCCATATGTTAAATACCTACTGTCTATAGTTTACGTGAGCAGTACACATTTAAATAAAACACTTTAACGGTTTAAAACACGATATATTAGTTAACGTTATTTGAAAATGATTTTTAACTTCAGCCCGACGTTTCGGATGATTTACAGCAGCCGTGGTCACGGGGTGATAAGTTCAACTAACACATCGCGTTTTAAACCGTTAAAGTATTTTATTTAAATAGCCATATGTTGTTACAATTAGACCAACGAGCCTGTGGTTACAAGCCGTGTCTGTCATAGTCTTAAAAAAATATTTTTTATTTCATTTCTTGAAATGTATACACCTCGTGCCCTACAGGAGAAATCGTTTGTTCTTACATTTGGTAAACGTTGATAAATAAATAATAACAAAATTATCCTTAAAATATTACATACTAGAATATTTAGTTTTATTTTACATTGCTTGCAAATAACTCGTGTTTCAAACCATTCTCAGTTACTATCATACCGTTAATAACATGGACGATAAAAAACTAGCAATCAATTTAACGAGATTTTCAGGTATATTTTAAAATATATTTTCATATAAAAAAGTGGAAATGTAACTTGAAACTTACAACAATGCTACGACGTTAACGTTAATAAACAAAAAAGACCGGAAGTTGTTTAAAATGTGCTACAAGCGAATTTACGAACCACTGTTAAACATTTTCAGTACCTCTCCTATTAAGCATCATATGTTTGACCATGAGCGAACAGTTTCGTCGTCAACACGTTGGGGAGAATTTCCACGATGAAGGACTGCAGACTCTCATTACTCAGGACGCGAAAGAAGCAGCAAAGGCGGCTCACAGGTACATCAGCCCAAGGGTATAGACGGATTAAAGAAATATATATTCAACCTATATTTGGGACCGTTATCTATATTGTGTATTTAAATCACAGATAGCCTTTGTAGCTGCAACACATTGCGTAAAGCGTCAGAGGTTCGGGGTTTGAATCCAAGGGAAGAAAATAATTGTTTTGGTTGGGCAGGGAACATACCTCTGAGCAAATGTGTTATAAAAGAACCGATCATTAAAACGGACACAGAAATGTGTTCGCCATATGCCCCACTGGGTGAACGGGATTTGAAAAAACATCTGACTACTTTAAAAACTTTCAACTGCTTTTATATGTAGTGTCATAAGGTTTTTAATATAAAACTATTTTTTTCAGGTTTACATTACCATCAACAACGACGAGACGACTCTTGCGCACGACCCCGTACCGAGTATCTTTTGCGGAGGACTGCGATTATCTCGTACACTACTGCCTTCGGGCTTACCAGTATGTTCAATCATTATTAGGTGTGTTGGCGATTTCATCCGCGTATAATATTTATTGTGGGCGTCAAAATTTGTTTTTGCATATCTCCTCCTCATCTTTATAAGATATAGCTGTTACACACGAGTTCTTTCCCCTGCTATCGCTCCTTTAAGCATTGTGTTAGCCATGCAAAATTAATTTTTGCAAGCAACCTACCTTTAAAGGTGCTAATGCGTGCCGTCGACTTGCGATATAATCTTTAAAGAAAAAATGTATTTCCGTTGATTCTACCTAAGTAAATATTAGTATATATTTTTTTGTTATTCAGAACTGGAATTTTATGCGCCAGAACTTTGTATTATACTTACTATACGTTTAAAAACTACTGCCTCATGGATTTTGTTAACTGCATGGAGAGATATGAAGGTAAGGATTGTTTGTTAGAAGTTGGATATACTACAATGACTATAAATTAGAATAATCGTGAAACAGTCTGTGGTTTGAAACATATTAATAAAACACTTTTAACGATTTAAAACGTGATATATTAGTTAAACTTATTTGAACTATTTTTTTGGCCCTGACTGTTTCGGATTTTGCGCATGGTTACGGGGAGACTAAAGATGACGTGTCTCAGACGTCAACTAACAAATTCTACCTACATCTGTTCCGTAAGTTGGTATTTGGCGAAACCATTTTCTAAAAGTTAAAAATATTTTCAAATAAGTTTAACTAATATATCGCGTTTTAAACGTTAAAATGTTTTATTTAAATGTGTACTACTCGCGTAAACTATAGACAGTACTTTTAACGATTTAAAACTCGAAATATATTACTCAAGTTTTTTACTGTTTATTTTATCTAAGGCATGACGTTTCAACTAACATATTTGGCTTTTTTCATATTGCTAAAAGTCTTCTAATTAAATGTGTACTACCCATATAAAATATAATGACTTTAAAGCCATCGAACACCTTTTTTTCAATGATGACTTATATAATAGTTATATATTAATTCTCTCTTATTATAATTTAATACATAATAAGGCTTTAATACAACCACGTTATTTGAAATCACGCTTTCTTTATTCCCTCATTCTTTAAACACCAGCTTAATGTTATCTACAAGTGTTATCTTCCTATGTTTGTATGTTCTACTTTAACAAAATTACTTCCTCCTTTCGACTTCGCTCTTGCTTGGTTCGAAAGAAAATTAAAAACTGTTTGATTAAACAGAAACAATGCCTTTTCTCACATTATTTTTACCACAAATTGCGACTTTCAGTGTGGCAAGTTGTCCATATGGGGCCGTGTTTCAACATCACACCGTTAACGGAATACCTCCGTAAGTTTTATAATTACAACATTTAATTATACTTAAACAAAACGATAGAATATAACTATAATTATATGTGTAAAAAAATTTACACAGCGCGATTTTTTTGTTTTTGCTACTTTATACTTCATTTGACTGCACATAACGCGTCCAGGGTTCGATTCCTTGTCGAGTGAAATGTTAGTTTGATATTTTGAAATCAATACTAACATTATAAAGCTCAATAGTTTGTTCGTTTGTTTGTATATGCTAATCTCAGGAACTACTGATTCGATTTTTTTTTTGTGTTGGTTGGATCACTTACCAAAGAAGGCTCTAGAACATTAGGCTGCGACCAATAGGAGCAAAGAAACATATTATTATTTTTTGTGGGTTTCCATTGCATGCGTTACTGTACTATTTACTGCCCGTTAACTTTTTACTACATTTGATGGCACATAGCGCACTGAGCGTTCTATACCTCGTCGAGCGAAATTTAAGTTCTATTATTAAATTTTCTTTGAAAAGAAAGTCCCAGTCCAGACGAGAGAGTAGGTATAATAGGCTCAATTTTACTTTTGACCCGTGTGTGACCGTCGTTGTGGTTTTATGGTCTTGTCTATCTTAATAAATTATCTATTTACTCTATCATTTTCACAGTATACCCATATGACGATGATTATTTCCTTGATCAGTACTACGTAATAGAAGACCATTGACAAGGTAATAAAGCCATGAAATATGAAAAAAAGTGTTGAGATTGTAATTACTTTAAAACGTGAAGTAATTTTAAGTGTCTTGTCAATAAAACATAAAGTATCATCCTGTCGTCTCTATTATTGTAAAAAATGTGTCACAGGCGGGAGTCCAACCTATAACAAAGGAAGTAGAGAGTCAAAAGAAACTGCTCTAAATGCACTGAACACTAACATAATATACGCGACTAAAGTAAGTTTTAAGTTCAAAAATTTTGGCTTAATTTAAACAGAATCTTATTAATGTAAATAATGTCTGTAGTTAACTGAAATTTTTACGTTTAAAACCAACGAACTAGTTAACTTTACAAATTATCATAACTCCCAAACCCCACTTCAAAGCATTCAAAAAGTTAATATAATTTGTAAAGTTTAAGTAATACATTTCGCATTTTCAACCGTTAAAAACTGTTTTGTTTAAAAAAGTTATTAATGCACGTTAGTAAAAAAATCAGTAATATTAAGTAACACGGTGTCGCACGTGGCATGTGAAAGAAACGCGCTGAATTACATAAGTCGGAAAAACGTAACAAAGAATATATTATATTATACAATTTATCTTACTTGATTGCTAAATAATTCTATACCCAGAGGCTTTGAAAGATTAAAGAATGAAATTAGGATACGATTTTGATGCCCTTGAGGAATTTGAGAAATTGTAGACCTTTTCGGGGTCGAGTACATTTATTTATGTGTAATCCTTTTTTCTTGAAAACTCGATGGGAATAATAACTCTACCTGTCACGGACTATACCTACATAGCATTTTTGTTAAGTTATTTTCATTTTCATGTATTTCAGAAAAAATAAAGAAAATCTTTCTTCAGAAAGCGTCCTAAAAGAAAATTATATAAATACAGTGTTCGATTCAATCCGTGTTACATAAAATAGTGATAAATACAATAGATTGTCTAATGAAATACTCATCTGAGTTTATAATAATCTTACAGATAAGAATGATTGCTGTTCTTGTTAATTTTTCGCTTTAATGTATATGTTAAAAAAAATTTTGAATGTAATTAAGATATAATCTCAATGTTTATTTGTATCGCCCAGTATCGCTTTAAAAGTGCGATGTCCCAGGTTCGAATCCCGAAAAAACATTTAGTTTTCAGTCAGGTTGAGCACAAGAGTCTGATCATCTACTTGTCTAAATGTCTACACTTACAGACGTGTTAAATATGATGAATTTTTTCATCACACTAAAGACTAGTCTAATTGAATTAATAATTCAATGTATATCATACAATGGTCTTTATATGGCAGTTGACATTTGTGCCTAGAATCTAGAATCCCTAGACATATCTGATGACTATCACACTTGGCTTTAAACATTAACATGGGCACAATAGTAAGTTCATTTGCATAAGTCCTGTCAACTTGGAGAATTAGCATTGCATATATTTAAGCAGATAAGTTGGATTTAGGTCGAATAAATATACTGGTTCGTCTTTGAGTGTCCATTTTTAAGATTTTGTTAATAGGCTTGGGGTATATTACACTAATTGTTTTAACATTGCATAATTTCCTGCTTAGGTTTATAACCATAGAGACATCAGCTGTAGAGTTTGTTTGTATTTATTAAAAGAACTGAATATTTTTTTTTATTGTGCGTTGCATATATTGAAAGGTTTTAGGCTATATAACGTACGATCGCAACCAATAGGAGCAAAACAATAGAGAGCAAAGAAGCAAATGTGGACAAAAATGTGAAAGAAAAACAGTGAAAAATATTCATCTTTGTTCCTTTGGGGTGCGAAATTCTTCTCGTGAAATTTATTAAAAAATACATAACCCAAAGATTATGTGAACTGAGTATTGTCCGTAGTTTACCAGAGTAATAAAAATACTTTTAATCGTTTAAAACGTGATTAATATTAGTTACTTATTTTTAATTTATATTAACTACGGTTCGACGTTATAAGTGCTTTGCAGAAGCCGTCACGTGAAGTGATTTTTCACAATGGCACATATGTCCCATAAATATTTTTGTATCGTGATTTATAAAATAACAGGCAAGGCCTTCTGTGTCCGCTATAATTGCTTTGCAGAAGTCAGAATAAGCTGAGATATAATTTAAATAAATAATATTGCCCTACGCGTTAAGACGTCTTAACGCGTTTTTCGAGAAACATGATGATAACATATCATGCAACGTTAAGCTTCTGGCTGGATTTTGGCCTAACCCTGAATTAGAACCCTGGACCTCACGTTTAAACATACTAGACAGTCTCAATACAATTAATTAATATAAGCGTTCAAGTCTAACAATAGCAATTACAGTAATTAATTCAATAAACGTGTTTGTTTCTCAAGATCCAAAGTTTTGAGGCAAGACGCCAAACAAATTAATCATATATTACGCAACGCTAAACTCTAGAGTACACTTGAATAAATCCAATTATCCGAAGTTGAATTTCGATACAGGCGATAGGAAATTTTAAGTATTATTTTCTAATTGAACGCCTTACTGTATTGAAAAATTACGTTATTATATTTTTGGGTTTTCGGATGTCCACAGATAGAAACCGGAACGCGATGAAACTGGACGGCTTTTTATCTGTGGACGGTGGTTCGTTACCCAGTAAGCAAATAAAACTAGAGCCTTTATTAAACTATATTAATATTATAAAGATAAAGAGTTTGTTTGTTTCTTTGAAGGCTTATTATCTTACCTTAGAAAGTATTGGTTAGAATTGAAAATAAAATAATTGTGTTTAATGATAGACCATTTATCGACACGTTGCGACCAGTAGGAGCAAAGAAGCAGAGGAAAATGTGGAAAACACGGGGAAACATTTTAATTTATAAGGCTTACCGTTGAGTTCTTTTTTTTAAAAAACGGTTCAAGAAACCAAAATAATATGTATGAAAGAATGATTCATCTTTAAATTGTCTAAAAATATTCGCAACACCCGTTTTCATGGTAAGCATTTTGGTCTTAATTAATGCATTATAACCTATCTAGTTATTTTCTTGTTGTCTAATAATTTTGAATACATTTTTATAAGCTTCTATGTGTAATTAAGATTTGGATAATATTAATTATTGAATGAGCAAATGCATTAATTCAGAAACATCGTTTTTATCTGTCGTTTCTCCATTGTTCTTGCACATTTTACTATCTGACGGCAATAGTTGTAAAATTTGAAAGCCTCTGTCCATTCCCAAAAGACTACAATTCAATTAAAACCTTTGTCAATCAGTCGTTTGTGCAAAACGAGAGCCGAAATACTAAATATTGTGCAATGAAAAATATTAAATGTTAGACGAATAACTATTAGAAACTCTTTGTTGGCTCCGAAAAAAATGTCTCTATTCTATACACTTAAATGTTATGAACATTTTTAGTATATAATATGAGAATTGACCTAATACCTAAATGGTTACTAGTCTCTATATATATTATACAGATATTCAATTGATTAGAGTTTTGGACGCATTAATAGTAAACAGTATGATAAACATTACTTAAGTTTACAATTCCTCTAACGTTATATATTCATTTGACAACTTGGCTACTGAAACTAAAAGAAGATATTTCAATTGTTTTTCAAACTTTTTCAGATTTTTTTAACAGGTTCAGTTCTGGCTACTGTATAGAGATTCGATTTCAGTCTAGCTCTATCGTGAGCTAGACAGAAATCAACACGTTACACTTGAAACATACCCCAGACACATAACGTCTAACCAAGATTTGGTGTCAATCTTTTTTGGCTTTGGATATTTGGTGGATTTCTGATTATTCAGTATAGACCCACAGCACATCCTAATTAAATGTTATAGGGAAGTAATATTTCACCTTATGCTAGTAAGTATGTAAAGTAAATACATTAGTAATTGTTTGCATTCTTGATAAGTATATATATAGGGCCTCAGTATAACTTCTATTTACAAAACCCTTAGGCTACTTCTAGAGTCATTGAAATCAATATTTTTCAATGCAACATAAAATATCCTTTACGACTGAAATGAACCCTTATTTTCTTACACAATAAATCTCTATAAGAAATTTTTTGCCAACATTATTACATCATTTATCATACCTCACAGGGTGTTAGCGGAAAATCAACTGTATCCTGTTGGTATAGTGGCTAGAGTGGCGTGAAATTTTATTTAAAAAGGTGAGACTAACAAAAAAATGATCAATCAACTGAAAATTGCTTTCGCTACGAATGCAGTGTTGTAATAAATAATACGCTTACGAGTTTTTCGATCAGGAGGTAAATAAGGAAATATGGCAAGGTAAATAAGGAATATTTGTTACGACGTAAACTTTCCCTTCCTTATCAGCATCTAATTATAAATTTGAAAACATGTTATTGCAAATGGATGCTATAAATTGTAAATTCATTTAAATTATAAAACACTGAAGGGATTAGAAATGGCATTCAGTGTTCAAATAAAGAATTGAGCTAACATGTCACGGTAGCTCAAGCTGAGGTTCAGATCCCGCCCATGTTTTCAAACTAAATTGTTTGTTCACTTGGTAAGAACGTAAGCACTATCACTCATTGGTATCCCATGAATTAAAAAAACGACAACCATGGTCACTTAGTAGTGGCAGACCTAGTTCAATTCTTAGAATTGGTGCTTGTTTAAAAAAATATCCTTGTACGAATTTTACTTGTTAAACTTTGACTCCAATAGTGGCGGTTCTATTTTTGCGTTAAGATTACTAATAGGTTTTTTATAACATAAATAGTGAGACCTGCATTCACATAAAGCTTTGCAGTAAAGGGCATTATTTCATTTCTCTAGCTGCGAATTTTAAAATCATTACACGTGAATAACTGAGTTAAGCTGCAAGCGATATCTGATGCAGAAATATCGATTAATTAGACTCAGGCAAATTTAATCCTATTTCTATGCCATTTCCTGGTATAACGACGAATGGTATTTACATTGTAATTCTTATCGACGGCATGCGATATATGTCATTATATTTTCTAAAAGGTATCGTGTTTATCTATACTAACATATAAAGCTGAAGAGTTTGTTTGTTTGTTTGAACGCGGTAATCTCAGAAACTACGAGTTAGAATTAAATTATTTTTGAGTTGGTTAGAGTATTGTTGAGAGGCTAGGCTAATATAAGCGAAGATACAGCGGGAGATGTAAACACAAAACGGGGGAATTTTTTTTATCTTTGTGGGCTTC